GGCCTAAGTCTCGAAGTTATTCAAATAAACAAACTGAACCAACGGCAACTGAAGGCGTTTGCAAACTTTGTTTCTCCATCTCTCTAAACAACCTCGACAGTAACAGCTAACATGCGCAAAACAGTGTGAAAGGTTTCTCTCCTTGCCCCGTAGGAGAAAACTGTTCTGGTTTAAATCAGAAGGCCGCTGTGAAGTTCGAAGTGTTATGTACTTCCGCTGTACTGACATTTAGATTACGCAGCGCACGTTTCGTGGCAAGTTCACAGCTGGACCGTCCGCTTCACCATCGCACTTCGATGAATCGGAGGATTTCAACTTTTGCATAGAGTACGGACATCTATCGTGTCCTATTCTCATGTGAATCAAATCCATTGCGGATGATCAAAACCGGGTTGGCGGAGGAGGATGGCGTACAGGAAAAGGCGATTGTAAAAATCGTTGTTGTGTTCCATAATTTTTAGGTATGGGCATGTCTTAGTTCCAGGACGTGCTCCAGAACGGCTTTGTTGATTTAGGTGACAAAATTTTAACCGTCTCCTTAAAACTGACTTCGGGGAAATTTAAGGATAAGGAAATAGACTACTGAAGTACCGTGTTGTCGTTCGTGTCGAATTCCGCGTTCGGTGGCACTAAAACGACGGTACGTTCATAGCTCTGTACTGGTCGTCGATGTCGTCATCGCCGTCGCCACCATCACGAAGGCACATCGTTAAGCCAGACCGAGTTTCTGTGAAAAAAACTGCTCTGTTACAGCTTAGCCGTGGCTGCAAATACCAAAGCACGCTTTTCAAATCTTCTAAGCAGGCACACGCAGAAGGCGACGGCGAAGGTGCAAAAACTTATATCAGGACGTCGTCACGTGTCATTGGAACTTAAGAAGCGAAGCGACAATGAACGGAAACGACGAGAAAAGAGCCGAAGACGCCCAACGGCACATGACAAAACTCGCTTCTAAACTGACAACTTAGATTCCGGAATACGAAAGCGAGCGAACACGGCGTATTTCTAAATAGATACAGCGCTGTATTAGCGGAGGTGGGAAAAACGAAGAAATTGACACTTGTCTTTCTATTGTAGGCATCGTTTCCAGAGGCAAATGCGTAGAAGAAAAAAGGAGACAATAACCGGCGTTCAGAGCAATATCATAAACATTCCATGCCTTCGGTGGTCGGCATCTGCTCTGACTACTCCCACGCCCTGACAAACTGATGACGTAAACATAGCGATTAGCAGTGATCGTAAAAAGGTTCATCTGACGTGACGAGCTCAAACATTGACACTGCGTCCGCTCTGCTGCCTCCATGCGTATTATCCGGCCATTGCAACCGCACACACAAAATGGCCGAACCGAAAATCCCGTTCCTGAAACTAGACAGTCATGCGTTTGGCTCTGAGCGAATGCGAGACAACGGCGAGTGACTTAATGCGCGAAAAAGGCGCTTCCACGAGTGAAATTTATACGTATGTGTTTAATCATGACAGAGAAAATGAATTAGTGCATAACTTAACATAATTAATCATCGTATTGCTGACGGAAGTCTTCATGCTCGTGTAAGGCGGAGTGCAGCCGGTGGATAGCAGCCACATACATAACACGAAAAAGTAGGTAAAACGTGGGTCGGCGCTATCCTCCTAGTGTGACAGTAATTTAACCATTATATACAGCCATGGGAGAGGCTCGGCAGCACAAAGGCGAGATTAAGCTCCAATCTCGAACCCAGAATTACAGGTACACTTGCAGACAGAGCAGTACAGTTACGTAAGGCGGCGACGGTTAAATCAGAGCAGGAATAAGTTACTTGCGAATAATAAAAATGAAAATGGTGTTAGCAATTTTAGCCATCCGAGTCCAGTCGTAGAACGTGCACGCGTGTAGACAACGAAGAAAATTGCATTTCTAAAACACCGAGCGAGCGCCGGCTGTTACAAAAGGAACCAGCGGAAGGACAGCAGGGCAGGTGCAGATGGTGAGATGACCATAGATCTTACACTACAAAGGCAAATGGTGCTGGCTAGTAAAACACTGGTT